TCTTTTTTTTTTTTTTTTTCTTAATTATTTTGAGACAGGGTGGTCTCAGCTGCTGAAGCTGGCTTCAAACTTGTGATTCTCCTGCCTCAGTCTCCCAAGTTGCTGAAATCACAGTCATGCACCCTCATGACTGGCTCTTTAAACATTTCTGTGGAATTAACAGAAATGTTGGATAAAGAGAATGGCATATCAGTTGACACTCAGGAAAGGGAATGGCACATCAGTTGACACTCAGGAAATGGTAATTATTTTAAGTACCAAAGACTGCTACTTCTGAGATGTTGCTTTAAGCACAGGAAAAGTACTGAACTTAAAACACTTTCCCAGCAATGTTTGAAATTCTTTGTTTTATTTTGACTACTACTTTAAATTCTATTGTTAAAGAATTATTCCTTTGATGTTAACAAGTACCATCTTTTCAAAGGCAAATACAGTCAAGAGGTGTCTCTTCCCTCTCCTTCTGGTCTTTTCTGATTCTCAAGGTGACTTCCTGGTACTATCTGGACTCTAATTAAAATGTGCATTTATCAAATAATGCACCCATATCCCTGACTGATTTTGTTTTCTTCTGTGAAGAGATCAGTGCTGGAAAGGTACAATTTGAATATCCCTTAACAGAAATTTTTGACAAAGCACGTGCCTGTAATACCAGTAACTCAGGAGGCTGAGACAGAAGGAACACAAGCCCAGGATGTAGTTCACTGGTAGAGTGCCTTGGGATCAGTCTTCAGTAATACACACACACACACACACCAAAAATACTTGGGATGAGAAGTATTTTGAAGTTTGAAATATTTGTATATACATAATATCTTGAGGATGGGACCCAAATAATAATAATACTTATTATTATTATTATAATTATTATTATTGTTATTATTATTTTAGTACTGGGATTGAACTCACGGTCACTGAACCACTGAGTCGTATCCCCAGCCCTATTTTGTATTTTTCTTTTCTTTTTTTTTTTTTTTTTAATTTAGAGATAGGGACTTACTGAGTTGGGTCTCAGTGAGTTGCTTAGTACTTCAAGTTTGCAGAGTTGGCTTTGAACTCACAATCCTCAGACTCAGCCTCCCCAGCTGCTGGGATTACAGGCAAGCACCACCGCACTGGGCAATACCATGAAATTATGTTAATATATATCTTGGACACATAGCCTGAAGGTATTTTATACAATATTTTTAATGTGTCTGCATTTTGCCTGCAACCTTGCAATCTGTCTCATGAGTTCGGGTATGGAATTTTCTTTTCTTTTTTCTTCTTTTGGTATGGGGATTAAACCCAGGGGGACTTTACTCCTCAGCTACTTCTCCAGTCCTTTTTGTTTTTTATTTGGAGACAGGGTCTCACTAAATTGCTGAGRTTGGCCTCAAACCTGTGATCCTCCTGCTTCTGCCTCCTGAGTCACTGGAATTATACACATTCACCACTGTGCCTGGACTCAGGTATGGAATTTTCTATCTATGGCATCAYATTGCCTCCCCACCCCCCATCAACTTGCACCTCACGACTTTGGATTTGGAACATTTCAGAGTTTAGAAATTTGGATTAGATATGTTCAACTTGTAACTGTGTCATTTGCTAGCATTTCAAGTGTGCCAAGGATTAGCTCCATTGTCAAAAGTTAGAATTTACTGTTTGAAAAATAAGCTAGGGGGCTGGGGATTTAAGTCAGTTGTTAGAGTGTTTGCCTTGCATGCACAATACCCCGGGTTCAATCCCCAGCACCACCACCCCCCAAAAACAAAAACAAAAACAAAAAAACCCAACAACAAAAAAGCTAATATGCAAGGTATGATGGTGTGCCCCTATAGCCCCAGCTGCTCAGGAGGCCAGGAGGCCTAAGCAAGAAGACTTCAGGAATTTGAGACCAATCTAGGCAACATAGTGTGACTCCATCTCAAAAAAAATAAGCTAGAGATAGAATACCACCCTGTTTTTTGAAACCTATTTTATATTAAAATTATTTAGTGAATTTATTTTAAAACTTTTTTTTTTWATATTTATTTTTTAGTTTTTCGGCACACACAACATCTTTGTTKGTATGTGGTGCTGAGGATCGAACCCGGGCCGCACCCATGCCAGGCAAGTGCGCTACCGCTTGAGCCACATCCCCAGCCCTTATTTTAAAAATTTAAAAAATTTTTTTGGACCAGTTTAAAAAAAATTGTTTTGAGGTACTGGGGATTTAACCCAGGGGCAATTTACCACTGAGCTACATCCCCAGCCCACATTAAGTACAGAATTTGCAATCCTCCTGTCTCAGCCTCTGGAACCACTGAGATTACAGGCCTGAGCCACTATGCCTTCCYATTTTAAAACATTTATTTAACAATGGAAGAGGCAATAATGCCAAGCCCTTACATTCATTATATGTAAACTTCAGGCAGTCAGGGTATTTTCTTGTTTGCTTCATTACTTCAATCATTTTCATGCCTAAAATGGAGTCCACCCTACAGGAAATACTTAATATTTACTGAATTAATGGATACACTCTGTAGCTATCCTCTGTGACGGTGATTCTTAAAGTGTAGTCCACAGACTCTAAGAGTGCCTGAGGTTTCAAGGGATCTGTATGGTCAAAACTAATTTCTTTCTTTTTTCTTTTTTTTTTTTTTTTAAAGAGAGAGAGAGAGAGAGAGAGAGAGGAGAGAAAGAATTTTAATATTTATTTT